GATTAAAGCTGATGGTTCCTTTATTCCGCTTTGGTACAAATTACCGGCTGAAAGTTGGGACGCTGAACTGCAGAAAATGGGGACTACACCCTGCTCTGGTGTGATTAGTCCAGAAACTGTGTGATGCGTGCATTTTATGCCTGCAATTTGCTTTCTCCCATCTGATAGTTGACTCATAAAATCAGCACCATTTAAGGGTACAAATAGTAAACATGCGTAAATACGTTAATGTGCATTAAATTCGAAGTTACACCAGCAACATCGCTACGATGGGTATACTCCTTTTATCGCCTTTTAAGAATTTAGCCGTACACAACTTTTCTCAGCATGCAGTGAGGCAAGTCCTCAGGCCAATCGACAGACAATCTGATAGCTGTAGTGTGCACGATATTTCTAGTAACCAGTGATAATTTCCTAAACGCATGATTCGAGCAACAAATTCAGCTAGCAGTAAGTCAGTTAAGGAGATAACGCAATTGTCCCGGGTGTTTGCCCCGAAATCGCCGTGACGATGAACGTTTGCCACCGCTTCATGTACGTGTCACGGTGGCCAACGAACGTTTAATTGCGGCGGGTAGGTTGCTCCTTAACGAACGTCGCTGCGAATAAACACGTAATTATTTATGACGCGTCATCGAGGATGGTGGATCATAATTTACTTTGTTTCCCCTCGCGGTGGCGACGCACGCCACAACTGGCTCTGCTGCCTTGTCCAGCGCTAACTAACGACTCAGCGCATGTCGCTTCGTGATCTACAGTAAGCAGCTGGCAGTGATTTGTTGATAAACATTACCGTACGACGTTTGGGCGCAGAAGTGCACCGTGGTCAGCAAATGACACAACACCACAACAATCGCCATGAGGATTGATTCAGAACCATAAATCACTTTCAGGTGGAAAGCGACTCTTAAAAACGACGTTGCTGTAGAAGTTCAATGACCATAGTAGGAGATCTAAAACGACGCAAATAAGGTTTTATCACATTTAACTTAATCATGAAGACATATCGTGAATTCTGAAACAGGACGGCTCAATGGGGGTTATTAAATAATTAACCTCTTTATGTTCTTACGACAAGTCTGTTTTTGGGAAAGATTATCAAGCTGTAAGCTTGAACTGGAGGACTGAGAACCACAATGCAAGAATATTCCCGATTAAACCATGTTGAAATCCTTTCACAATGCCATATGCCCTCTGAACAGAAGATTATATATTGATCTTCTTACTCGAAGCAAATTTTCATGA